TAACGAGGCACTGTACTGAAGGCGCTGTAATCGTCAAACAAGGTGCTTCGTGCGAAATGACCCCTTTTGTTGAAACATCCCGCAACAGCGTTGGTACAGTAAGCCAACGCGTCACATGTACCCGTTTTGGTCTTATACGCGAACGGATGTACGTCAATATGTGACACAGTAACTTTGTACTTATTATTATTGACATCGGTTGAAAAGCAGACGGATCGTATCAGCGGCTGTTTTTCTTTGGAACCGGAGTTAAGCGTGATATGTGCCAGGAATCAGGAGTAAAAGACTCCGCCAAGCAGCGATTATAGATTCTGCAAAACATAACTAACTTCATAAGAGCAGTGTACCAGCACAATAATCTCTCTTTCGCATCATGTAATCCATCCTCAGAAAAGAACCACGATCCATGGAAATATGAAGCTTAGGAGAAACGGAGTGGAGTGGTTGACCTATATGTTGGTCTAGATTCGATGCAAAGCGTTGCTGTATTGTTTCTGCCATTCAGTCTTTGTTTCTTCTTACGGAGACAGTACGTAAGGGCTGAAGGTTAGATTGTCTGAATGCACATCATTTTGTTCTGAAGTTTCGCCAAGAGAAATCTTAAACAACATACTTGACAGTTTTGTTTCTTTGATAGTGTGGTGAATATGTTTATTTGCTTGGACAACATGGTCTGATTATTAATTTGTAAAGAGTGCAGTAGCACAAAAGCAGTCACTTGCACGTTTAGTTCCATCAGCTAAGCGCGTTTTCTGAGACTGGCCAAGCTCGGGTTTGAGGATTGTGTACCGTTGTTGCCATTTAGGATTGGCGAAGCATTCCAGAACGCAAGAAGGAAAATTTTGATCCTTTCTGTCTTCAGATTGGTATTGGATGGCCTATAGGATTTATATGTTTATTTAGAAATTGGAGTGGTGAATTGTAGTATGGAAAAGATATGAAATGGGTGACTGAAAATGTATGCTCAGTGGATAGGTGGAAGTAACCTAAAGCCAACTTAGTTCAGCTCATTGTTTCATTATGCCATACACAATGCGAGTGTAGTATTTAATATGACGCGGTTAATTATGGCACAGTTAGTTTTTTTATCGTACTCGCTTCGCGATCTATGGTTCAGTGATATATCCTAGGAAAAGGAATATGTATAATCCTTTATTTACCGATCCGTTTCGACTCTGCACAGCAGCGATATCATCAGATATATTATCTTGATCATGACGCTAGTGTGCGTCTGTAGATAATGGATTTTACGTTGTGCATTCTAAACGTGACTTTGACTGATGTATCGAGAAGCGAACGCCATTAACAGTCATTCAAATAGGCAGTCAACGAATCGACATCTCCTTTCATTCGTATTTTAAATATTTGATGAATTTTCTGGTTATGCCTAACAAAATGTGCCTTATTGAACTTCTTAGCAATGCATTTCTGCCTGATGCTATGATTCAAGATACAGGAAATGAACTAGTTACTGGAAAATATGATTTAAAGAAGTTTCAAGAGTAGTCTGTTCAAGCAAAGCTAGCCTGGCAAAACGTCATGCGAAACAACTGATAAGCAAGTGGACCATATTATGGCACTATTTGTGCTTGCTACTGTAAGTAATTTTAGTAGCTTCTGTAACCTATACAGCTGATTTAGGTACAAACTTCAACTTTCGTAATGATATTCATTTCTCTGTCCATTTTGCAGTAGAAAATACCATTATTAACTGTAATATTTTTGTTTTCTTACCGAAGAGCACCTCGATAACTCCTGATTGCATATTTCCCTTTTGTTCCTTACCAACACCTGCTTGATCTCGATTTCACTAAGCGAATCTGTAATGTGTTTTGTTTCAGTTGACTACGCCGTACAGATGTCCGACTTTGCGCTGTTCTACAACATGGGCCAGTGCTGCACGGCTGCGTCCCGCTGCTATGTTCAGGAGGAGGTCTATGACCAGTTCGTCGAGAAGGCCGTTGAAAGAGCGAAGAAGAAACACGTCGGCTGTCCGTTCGATGATAACATCGATAACGGGCCTCAGGCACTAATCACTCCTCATTAATCGCCACTTCATTGAGTCCATTTTGACTAAGCCTATTTTCAGATTGACAATGAACAGTTCACGAAAATACTGGACCTGATCGAAAGTGGCAAGCAAGAGGGGGCGCGTCTGATGTGCGGCGGGGCGAAAATGGGCGACACAGGCTATTTCATCGAGCCAACGGTTTTCGCAGACGTCACCGATGACATGCGCATAGCCCGAGAAGAAATTTTTGGTCCTGTTCAGCAGATTTTGAAATTCAAAACTATGGAGGAGGTATGAGAATAACGTCCATTATTTCATCGTGTCTATCATGTATTTGTTTCTGGCTAGAAACGTTTCTTTTCGAACGGACAGAAACGTATACTGGCTTGATTCATTGGTTTAATGACTCATTCTTCAAGTTAAATATAACAACCCCATTACGCATTGCTGTAGTTTAATATGTTCTGTATATGCCGCAGTTTATTCTACATGTTTTAAACTTTAACCCCCCGAGGCCGATGAAGGCTTATTTTTCGGATTTTCAGGTTATTGCTCGAGCAAATGACACCACTTATGGCCTTGCTGCGTCCGTATTTACCAAGGACATCGATAAAGCCTTAGAATATGCAAGCAGCGTTAATGCTGGAACTGTTTGGTATGACATGTGGTCTTTTTTATAAATGATATATGTAACCGTCTGTGAAAACGATAGACGATACCCCGTGTGTGCATGACGTTTCAATGAAACATTCTAAGGAATGGAATAAATCCGGCCAATACGATGCCGATCTACCATAGGTTTTTATTATTTCCACATGGTATAGTGAATCAGGCGTGCCCTGTGTGAAATGCAATACCTTTGCTTATATTTCTGAGAACAGTCACCTAGTTCCTTTTGTTCACGTACTTTGACTCATTTATCTATTTCAGATAAATCAAAGGCAGAGATAAACTGAATTTAAACTATTAATCTGTAGACATGGTGACAGAGAGCCGCGCTTGATTAACCTCTGATCCAAGCGATTCGTGTTGCACCCAGTTTACGCGGCGTTGGAATGAACTCATTCAGCTTGAACCTTGACTTTGCTTAACCCAGAAAAAAAACCGTGAAGAGATTGTCGGCTTTCAGATCTACACAAATTGGCGACGATTCTGCGCCAATCTTCAAGGTTGCTTGCAAGTAGAATTAGTACGGCTGTGACAAGAAATCGCCAAACGCCAGAAATGGAATTTCCGTGATTCGCGTCCGGCAATCACTCCTTCACATAGGTTGGAATTGCTTAATCGAGCTGCTGTCGGTTCATTCGTCTCTTGCTATTATGAAGCACGTAACTCACTGCCATTATGTCAGAGAGGAGCAGGCGAGCACACATTTGAACTCGCGATCTCAACAAGAAAAATCCAATACTGTGTCAGCTGCTTCATTCTGAACTAAACTTGAGAGGTGGCCTTATGAATTTGTTCTGAATTTTAGTCAGGGCATTGTTTTCATTTTCGCAGTTTCCGCAAAATCCATTGGAAACCTGCTTGTTCCAATTAACTAATCTTCCTTAACAATTTCGAGGTCTGTGAAGGCTTTTATTTGTCCTTCGCAGTTTTAAAGGATGTCCTCTACGGCTATTTCTTCCTCCATGTAATTTCACATTTTATTCTTAAATTGCATTCAGTGACGTTGGTTCATAGTTGTATTTATGAATGATAACTTGACTTGATAGCCAACAACCTATTTCCTAAGCATTTTAGGATAAACTGTTACCACGTTGTTAGCCCACAAGCTCCATTTGGCGGGTTCAAGCAGTCCGGAATAGGAAGGGAACAGTAAGTATGATAAATCAACTATCACCAGTCTTCAAATACCTATTTTAGTGGCTATGAAGGGATATCGGAATACTGCGAAATAAAAACGGTAATTACATTGGATAAGTATTAAAATACGTGCATCCTAAAGATCTTTAAAACACAGTCTTCAGTACAGGAATATAATTAAATACAACAAAACTCTTTCATGAGTTGAAGCCACTTCGTAGTTTTGTCATATGTCAAATCTCCAACTTTTTCAATCATCTGATCCGTCTGCATTGATTAAAGCGAGACAAGGCAAGCTACATTTTACAGTATTATACTATGGGCCATTTCAGGATTTGTAGTTCGTTTGACTTAGGCTCTTTCGTTTCTACATGTAATGAGGTTAAATATATGCCATTTCTTGCGTTTCCAGTAATAATTACTTATTAGGGATGACAATGCCGTAGAGAGAAAAATTTATGTCCTTGTGAACTTAGTTTAGCGGCTGGTTAAAAAGCACCTGAAAATAATTAGACGGTTGTGGAACTCACAACACGAAAGCAATACAGCATGTTACGGCAGCAAATGATCTGGACACTTCACGAAAGAATTCCTTAAATCAAAAGATAATGGAAGCTCCTCTCGTTCACCCTCACCGATTCATGAGAATGGACTTTTCACGGAACCAATTTCTTTTTATTACAAAGCAATGAGGTAGCATCAAATGCACGTTACGAGCTCTGTAGTGCAGTGTGGTATATCAAACACGCTGTGACGTTGTAATGTTCAATTTCAGTCTATCAATCATGATTCAAAACGTCAGAAATTCTATACAATTTTGAATCATAATCTTATAATTATAACTACTTCATAATTGTTCAAGGTAATACATCGAGCATATACATTACAAGTATCCTTACAGCACTGACATATACAACGTTTACCGGAATGCAGTTTCAGACCCGCAATAATTTTTTAATCACTGTTGCTGTCGGTTCGAACTCTAAACTTTGGTTTTTAGGTTTATGTGAAGACTTCTAAAAAGCTAATGTGAACAAGAGCACGAGAAACAGGATCCTACTGTACTTGATCGCTTTTGCTTACTGTGTGCTAAATCGTGCTGCCTACCGAAGGAACGATACATTTCATATTTTAAATTTCAATAAAAGTACAACTTCAAAGTGATGGCTGATAAAACGGCAATAGTAGACTGTTTATGTTGAAAATTCTCAATATGTAACCATTTTAAGATCGCAGTATTGCCTTGAAACTAGTGGTGGATTCAGAATGATGTGAACTTACTGAGATCTTATGAGTCGTAAATGCAAATACCATTTACCTGACCTGCGCAAACAACGTAAAGGAAAACTGAAGTAGAGTTATTATTTGATGGTCAGACAATTTATTCAGCAATGTTAAAGGTCATTTTCCGCTTATTCGGATTATTATAATGTGTAACATCTTAACATCCTATTTCCCGATTATCATAATTAAAGTTGGGGTGAAATGTTCTTTTCCTGATTTTATTCGTTCAACAAGTCTGGTTTTTTGGCCTAATCCATCAATGCACCGAAAATGATGACAGGTCAGGTGAAGGTTGATCAATCGTTGTCCATCGTCTACAGAAGGTAAATGAGAGGATGACAGCACAGTAACTAGCATTTCTTTGGATTAAAACGGCCGGTAATCTTCAATCCAATCATTCTATTTAGAAGAAGAGATTTTTCGGGCCATTTCCATCGTCCTGTAATCGGCGATGAATTACGCCGACCGTAATCCTTCCTTCATTTGCTGAGCAGCATGCAAACTTTGCTTATGTAGAATCGGACATGCACTTTCTTCTGGTCGCTGAGATGAGCAGGAGTGAACTCGTGTCTTTAACACAAACAGCTTTGTGTAAAGTTTCTACAGATAAACTTTATTCCGGTGCTGTCAGGCTTTATTGCTCCATGCCGCTACTTCAACATCGTAATGGACGGTTGAAAAAGCAGTATTTGTGTCCTGCGTTGTCTGAAACTTCGATGGTCTGCCGCTGTTTTCCCTAATTTTCGCAATTTGTAGGACTCCAAGTTCTTATTCAGCCTCTGTTTAGTGAGTTTGCAGAGAAAT